ATATATATCTTACACTTCTATATCTCTTAATATTCATACTAAAAACATTTATTTTGTAAGCTCTTCTTTTACAAAAATACCACATACCCTTGTTCCGTAGTGAATACCGGGTAGAAAAGAAAATAAATGCTAGCTACTGACTGCAAAGTCAAATAAAAATCCCCCCGGGATTGTCTACGCCGCCTCCTCCTCATGCTCAGACCCCCCTCCCATCCTGGCCCCACGTTGTTGTCACATTAGCCACGCCACGCTGTGCGTCCTTAATGAGCATCGCAGACATATGCCATGGGCCATGGGCCAAGGGGCACGGAAAGCGGACCAGGAGCCTTGAGCCCTTGGAGGCGGAGTCTCCGACGGAGGCGGGGGTCATAGGTCGCGAGCCATGTCCCGGATGCCTTTATCACTGGCCAAATCTCTTTCTACTCCCAGACCCAACGTAAATTGGTATGTTTAGGTTGCCCTTGAATTGCTGCTGCAAGGCAGCTGGCAGAGATCGAGGGAACTGGTAACTGGGGTCTTATGTCTCATCAGAGGACACCCTTCGCCATATGTAAATGTCTTTCTTGTTGTTCATCCGACACTGACACTGATAGTTGCCATCGAAAGGGGGGCTAAAGAAGAAATAAAGAACATATGGCGGGGATTTTGCAGGACCCTTTCTTAAATTAGTTAAAAAAAGAGCAAAAAAACAATAAAGTACAGGCTAGTAATTTATCTTTATTGAGAAAATAATCTTTGGAAAAATAAATTATATTATTAAAAAGTCAAGGGTAAGTACTAATGACTTTAAAATAATAGAACACAAAGGGGAGATCCACTTTAGAAATAAAGCTATCGATCCTATTCAAACCACCCTTTCCGGCCATCTAAACGTGAACAAAAACCAATGCAAGTTAACCACATTTCCCATTTAACCCCCAATGATTACTGATTGCAAACATTTTGCGGTGCCTGAAGGCTCTGCATTAAAAATGATTTCGAAATGGTATAGCCCAAAATTTTACTGTTTGGCATTCTTCCCAACAAACCACGAGAGGCACGAATTTTCCCTCCACACTTGTTGATGTTAATGCACATTACGTATACGCACGCTGGTCGCTTTTATTTCTCTCTTTACGCACTGCATTTCGCATTCGTCTGCCGCATAATTCTTATTTTAATGCTGCACTTTAGGCACATGCCAAAAACTATATAGAGAGGGTTGTGGCGGCGTACAACCTCCAGATACAAATGAAAATAAAACATAAATATAAGTATAGAAAAGAGAACTTTGCCTGGCACATTTGTTCGCTCGCAACGCTGATTTTCGGGTTTCCCATTTCAGCCAGCAGTAAGTCCCAAAGACAAGAAGTTGTCTAAACAAATTGCAGATGCATGTCGGCATTGTTCACGAGAGTTCCACAAAAGCCGCTGACGTCAGGCGAACACAGGCCACACGAGCCGTGTGGGAACAATCCAGACAAGCGTCAGTCCATCCATCTAGCCATCGTGTTGGGCACTTTTAGCTAAGAAAATGACAAATTGCAGACTTTTAAGGAACTTGAGATTAGCATAAATACTAAAAATAATAATAAAATTATATTTTTTAACAAAATAATCAATTGTTGCTTTTATAAAGTTACAATAAAATAGAAGCATATTTCGTATTTTATTTAATTAGCTTTTTTTAATATAGATATTTTATAAGTTTGTTTTCATTAAATAAACCAATTTTAAACATTTTTTAAACCTTTAAAAAAGTTTTATAATTTTAAAGATACTTTTTGATTTGAGTTTAAGCATTGACATAAAAATAGCTTTTTTCCATTGCTCATTTCCATTTTAACTCTGCTCGATTATGGTCAAACTAATGAAAAAAAACGTTTTCTACTTTTCTCATTTTTTTGTTCTCGCCTTTTTGTGAGTTTTCTTAAAAATATTCCTTTTCCGACGAAAATTGTTCGCGATGTTCGCTCCTCTTTACCCGTTCGCTTCTGTTTGCTGCAGTTTTGCTCGATTTGCCACAAATTAAGTTGGCCTGGCCAGCAGACCATGCTCGTCCATGGTAGCACACCCACTGATGGCCACCGCCTGCTCCACACAGCCTTCTCCTTCGCAGCTGTAACCGCCCCCAACCAGTCGCCAGGCGGGTGCATTGTTCACGCCGGCCGTCTGGGTTCGGATTCGGTTTCGGGGAATGGAGAGGTTTCAGGGGTCTGGGGGTCTCTGGGGTCTGGCTGCTGCCCAAAAATGCAATAAAATTAAATGTTTTTGTGTAAAAACTTTATGACTTTGTGTTTATGTTCGCAACACGCTCGCCTCTCGAAGCACTCTCGTCCAAGCAAGTTCCCTGCGCTGTTGTTTTTGGACTTCTGGTTGGACGCTTGGCCTGCTTTAGTTTCTGTGGCTGATTGGCAATTGTTTTTGCCACGGCACTGCTCTTCTTCGCATGTGTTGACAGTAATTAATTTAACCGGCATAAATGCAATTATTATGAGCAACACATTTGGCGATACTTTGACAGACGGGGAGCGAGTCTTTTCGTTGCCCGTAAAGTTAATTTAGGAAAATAAAATCCGGGGAAATAGAGAAACGATATTGAATGTCTTGTAGTCTTTGCAAACCCTATAAGTGTGACATCTTTAGAGCAAATAAAATGATTCATTATATTTTTATACATAGTTCTTAGTCTAAAACAACTTACTTTTTTTGCTCTTGGCTAATTTTAATTTCAAATCATACAATTTCCCATGCTAACTCTCAACAATATATAAGCTTCAACGATAAAGCCACTTGAAAATTTATTATATATCAGCTCATATCTCAACTCCTGATCTCACTTTGGCTCTGCCATTTTCTTAATTTTTATTAGCCATATCGCTCTCTCATCTCGGCGCTTTATCTTATCATCAAATTAACTCGTTCGGTACCAATAAGAGACCCAAAACGCATAACTCAAGCAATTTCAGGCTCCTCACAAATTATGGTTTCACTTTTCTCTCCGAGTTCGAAGTTTTCTCTTCGCCGCCCTCGAAGGCTGCTGGTGAAATCATCGAGTGCCGAAGCACGTTCGCCCTTCAATTGAGGGGCGTGCGAAATGCATCATAAAAATCAAATATGAAGTACACATTTCGAACGGCTCACGCTTTTTGACAACATCATTGGAGAGCGCCCCGAGGTGTGGCCAACTAAACGCTTATTAATTATGACTCTGCAGGCAGACATTCCATAAACACCCAACCGACCAACCGGCAACCGTCCGAGTTCCGCACTTCAACAGCAAAAGTAATTAACTTAATATCGTTGTAAAAAGAAAACTTTTTGCCCAACTGTCGTAAAATAAGAGTTTTCAGTTTGGCTGCCGAGCAGGGGAGAAGCGGCGAAAACCAGTCGTAAACAAATGTAGCTGAAAAGTGCAATAATGTTCAACATTTTATCTGGCAGAACAAGCTGAAACAGTTGTAATAATAATTGGCTAGCACGACGATCATAAATTGGAAATGGCTAAATATAAAGCATCTAACTTAGACTGTCATGAAAAATAAGAAAAGTCTGGTTCAAGGTTATAATATCTGATATTAAGCTTACTCGGTTATGGTTTTATTTTTTATCTGAAGTTTGAACATGTTCAATACATCAAAAAATAGCTTTCGAGAAGGAATATTTTTCGGTATGAAAAGTTTACTTTTAAAATTTATAAACAGCATTTGGAATGTTATATAAAATGCAGCTTGCAGTTATTTAAAGAAATTAATAATATTAACAAAATGTGGCAATTAGATTCGCAAGATAGATTCCTATTTGGTTTGATTTTAATTTTTTAATTCTTAATTGTCTAGTTTTTTAAAGTAGTATTTCTATAACAGAAAAGTGTTATTAACTTGCTAAAAATCAAATTAAATATTTAAATCCACTTAGGCATCAAGCGGAAAAACTACGGAAATCGCTGAGAGGATCCCCGGACTCAACTGGCGATTGATTCACACAGCGAACTTCCGCAGGGGCTGCGAGCAAACAAAAAGTTTACGCTTCATAGCACAAATTGAATAAATCATTTGACGTTGTCGGGTATCTGCCATCGTCGTCGAGTTCGGGGCAGAAAGGTCGTGGGCTCACATAATTGTTGCGCAGAATTGACCAAAAATAAAAGCACCCACTGAGCGCAAGTAGGAGGAGGAGGCGGTGAAACTGAACAGATTTTAATTGAAAATAAATAAATTATTCTGTTTAATGCCCTTAAAAGTAGGAGAGCCAGGCCTGAAAGCAAACACTTTGCCTTCATGAAAGTTAATCAAATTTTAGCAGGTTGGCCGCCTTTTGTAATACACCTTAAAAACACAAAATAAAAATACTTTAAACATTTAATTATATTTATAAAAATATATATATATTGTTAAGTTTAACCAATAAATTTAAATATGTTAAATTTTTTCTTCGGCCTGCAACAAATCCACTGGGGATTACTGCACTTGGCAGCGGGACATTTGCAGCAAGAGGCCTCGTCCCGCTCCATGAAGAGCAGTAGCAATAGCAACCCAATGAAAATACGTCCTCCCAGTTTTGGCAACATTCAAAAGACTAAGAAAATATTGTATACAGCCCGAGGAAACGGGGATTAAGCCGTGTCAAATTAGTGAATCAAATGCTGATGACACAATCGCGGCGACAACAAGCGATGCAAATGTGAATTGTTGGAACACAAACAGAAACTGCAATGACAGAGTTAATTAATGTCCGTGTCCCATTTCCGATTTCGATTCCGATGCACGTTTCCGTGATGGAATACATGTGAGAAGAAGTGCAGGCGTCACTCGTTATGCAATTCTCTGGCCCAACAATAACGAAATAAATTCCCAAATAAATAAAAATAAAAGCAGAACACAGGTAGAATGCAGCACGTAAACCCTGACAACGATGTGAAAACCAAGTGGACGCTTTAAAAACCGCAACAAATTCATTTGTTGCCCCAACATTACACAATGATAAAGCTTGAAAACTCTCGAAAAATAGTACAACAAAGCTAAGATGACCGGCCACATGGGGTTTAGTTGAAGAATATTGTAATATTTTAATGTATAAAATGTATAAATCTATTTCTACAATTCCAGATCCTTGCTGTTGATGCCTTTAATGCTAGTAGTAAGTTTTGCATCTTCACCAACCACGAAGGTGCCTTACATATCTCCGTACTGGAAGTTTGTAAATGGACTTCAGTTGGTGAAATGCCCCAATATAGTCGAGACCATGACTAATGTGAATATAAACAGGGTCCGTCAGTGAGCTATTCGATTTTATTTCCTATTGCTTATTTAAATAATTGTTTATCCATAGCTCTTGGGTGTTTGGTTCGCCTATGCCACAACTCCTTTACATATGTCCGCTTATCGGCGGCGTTGTGCTTCCTATAATGTGCAAAATAATCGTAAGTAAATCTTTAATTTATTTATTATCTATACTATTCTTAATTTTTTAAATTCTTAAATTATATTATGTGTTTTAAAAGCCAATTTCAGCTCCAAAATCCTTTATACGGACTACAAAGCTCTTACGATAACCTATTCCTGCGATTTAGACCCTGAGACCAACTTGCATGAAGGTGAGTGCCATATTAGAAATTTCTGTTTGCATCAATCCTAAGTACTTCATTTAATTCTCCAGTTAAAGTGCGAGTTTTAACCCGGACGAGAACCCCACAAGATAAAACCATTCTGAAGGCTATTTTCTATCTGAAGACAATTGACTTTCCCTGGGAAAGGCTAGAGATTCTGAAATCGGAGGCCTACTGTTTCGAATGGTACATATTGAAGTACCATCAGAGGCCGAGACCGGGTAATTATAGGGTACCCATGAACAGTTTTTTCGAGCATTGATGACAGCTCGAATTAATTGCATAACTATCGCTAATTATTACAACATAATCAACGGGCGAGGGATGGAGCAGAGAGGAAATCGTATAACTTAATTAGTTGAGACGGGGGCCTGGCCAAAATCAATTACGAGCGAAAGTTCGACACTCGACTGATTGGACCCAGCCGTCTCAAGGAGCCCAATTGTCCTGATTCCCGTGTCCTTGTTCCCGAAAACCCATACACACAATGGCACTTTGCGAAAATGTGGTTTGTTTTTACTTAAATAAACAGAATTACATTTTATGAAGTATAATTAAATATATATTATAAAAATTACTACAAATAGGATAGAAAATTCTGCACATAGTAGGTATCCTTTAATATTATTCTTTAGTTCTTTTCATTTTAAAGTGTTTTCTCCTGTGTATGCAGAAAAGCGCACATATGGAGAACAGACAGCCTCCTGGTATTGAATTGATGCCTTGCCCATTCTGCCGCCGCTTCAATTCAATTTACCAAGGAGGGAAATCCCCTCTCCCAAAAAAAAGGAAAGAAGCAAACAAAAAAAAAACGGACAACTTGGAAAATTCAATGGGCCTCCGAACTGTGCGTGTGTGTGGGTGTCTCTGCCCATTTTCATTTACACATTTTTTCCGTTCGACTGTTTGGCTTCCTCTCTCTCCAGCCAAATTGCTTGGGCCACGCACAAATTGGCTCAGGCCCCGGGGTCCAGGTCCAAGGGGCGATGGGGCAATAAAATCAAACCCATACTGGGCGCACTTGGCGTATGCGTAACTCACAATTATCCCTTATTGTGTGGGCGTGTCCCCCGAAGGAGGATATGGCATCCGACTGACGGGGCCTTGGTGTAATAGTCACTAGTCCGAGATAATTGTCATTGTCATGCGAATTTCGTTCGGGTCCACAGGACACGAGCATTTCGCTTCCGGCTATAACGATTTTGGCCCCCGGCCAGAGGGAGTATGTCCATCCGTCCGGAGGACAATCCAATTTTCGAATTTGAATTCGCATTTGCATCTCGTACTTTGCTGCTAATTTGTTTGGCACTAAGCGGCTTTCCCGACCGAGTTAACCCACACTGACATTTCATTTGGCTGCCACTGAAAGCGAAAACGAGGCTTCCATTGTTTGTTGTCAGCTTTCTTTGGTTAATTTCCTGTATGCTCTCACTGCAGGATTTTGAGTTGCATAAGGCTCAAGCCCATTTTGCCCTGAGATTTGCCATTTTGAAAATGCAAAATAAGCTTAGAGTTGGCTTGCAAATCGTAATTGCACGACTTAAAGATAGCCATCTTGTTTGACAATGTGGTCGGATTTGTCTTGGCCAAGAGAGTCGCCGTGTTTGTGAGTCAGAATGGAAGCTGACATAAGCTCGTTATCAGATCGCACCGGCCAGAACATGTCTTCCAATTACATTTCACACTTGTGCAGGTTGTAGCAGGTGAGTAATATGGTGTTTTCTTCATTCATTTAAGCATAGTATTTACATGCATGTGGCACCATTAATGCCTTTATTCACGACTGAATGGCTTTGCATTTGAATAAGCATACAGTTGATGCGCACTATCTGAGTTGGATATTCATCTTTAAAAAATATCAAAAGAATTTCTTAAAATAATTTCTATTAATTTTTATTTTATATTTTGAACAGTTCTTCCTAACGCTACAAGTACAATAGAACTCATCATATGACTAGCTCCGTCACACACACAATTTAGAGCAGAAAAATAAACCCTCTTCCTCTAATCAGGTTTCCTTCAATTTTTCAATAATTTCCCTAATCTCCCACAAATAGAACTTTAATTTAAAGTTCAACCTTTAACGCACATTAGCAACATCTGCAACAGAAATACAGGCATGTAAGCAATACCAAAAACCACAGCAGCAACACAAGGGCCTATGGTTATGGCAAAAACAATATCAGGCAGACATGCGATGCCAAGGCATCAGCAACAACACACCAACAAAAGCAGCAGAAAAATCAGGAACAAAACAACCAATCCGGCACCAACAAAAATAATAGCAATAAAATTAAAAAAGACACCAACACAAGCAACATCAAGAGCAACAACAAAATACCCAGAAAATCACCTACAAAAAACACCAGCATAAACACCAACGAAAACACCAATAACAGCAACAACAGCCAGCAGGTAACATTTGTTACATCAGCATTCTAACAGAGCAATGCTTTTCAGTGACAGCAGCAATAACAGCCAGAACACAAATGTTAAGTGCAATATATATACTATATACTATAGAGAGAGAAGTAACTATATAGTACATGTACATGGTTATAAGCCGCCTAATTGATGCGCTCTCTGCGACTTTGCCAGTGTGCTTGTGTGTTGATCTTCTTGTTATATAGTCGACTATATAGTTAAAGCTGTTATTCAATTTGATCTACTGGCAAAAGCGTCGCGGTGCTGCTGTCGTTTTAGCCATTGCCTGTCCGCTGTCATTGTAACAATTTTATGGTTAGTACGTTTTTATTTCCACAGATTTCAGTGATTTTCTCTATAGCCTCTCTTTTTGTTTTTGTCGCTGCCTCAGGTTTTATTTTTTTGTGAACAAGCTACGCTTTTTTGCCATGTATTTGTTTCAATTGCATGACGCATTTAGCGATTTCAAGTTCAAATCACTTTTTATGGGTCTTTATGTAATCACGTAAGCGTCATTTGTAGAATAGACTTTGTGCGCGAGGCAATTTTCTCCAGCAGAAAGAGTCTCCTAATAGAGTTGCATTTAAATTAATGGCCCGAGATTGAAGATTGAGGATGGAAGATTTCGAGAACGTACATACATTTATAACTGGAAGCTGGCGCTAACCAAAACTCTTAATTAGCCAAAGAAGTTCTTTTTCGTCTTTTGGTCGGATTTTAGTGGGTTTGGTTTTTTGTTTTTATGGATCTTTATTCTTTCAGCCGTTCGACTGGTTCCACCAGTTTCCGTTTCATTTCGATTTCGGTTTCGGTTTCGTTTTCGCTTCTTTCACGTCAAAGAACAAGAACAACATGAAGATGAAGACGAAGACGAAGACGATGATGCTGCGACAAAAAAAATAAATATATATAAGAAATAAAAAACGAAAACCATTTATTGATGTGATAATCTAAAGATCAAGGTCTTCCTTTTGCCATTTCAATAAATTTGTTGTCGAGCTGCGTACACTTCGTGGACCCCCGGCTCGTTCAATCTTTGATTCCGTAGAAGCCCCAACGAAACTAGAATTCCGATCTGAGAGATATAGTGCGGATTAGTGATAGGACAAACAGGAAGTGCCGGCGCAACTACACTGGGGAAATAATTTAATTTTAGAAAACTAAGAAAAAATAAATATTTGGCTTAAATATATATTCGGAAACCCATTTCTTATATTGCATAAAATATTTTAAAATACACATTTAACTTAATTTAAATTTTTATAAATTTAAATACCAAAAAATATGGTTACTGTAATATTCAAACTAATATTTCCTGTGTACAAAAAACAGAAATATACCGACAACGAGAAAAAAAAAATCGAAAGTTCAGACTGGCAGAAGTGGAGCATAAGCCGAGGATTCAGTTCAGCTTTGGGGAATAGACGCAGACGCAGCCTCCGGTACCGACTCTCAGTTATGTAAAACATATGCTAAACTAATGTGGGTAGTTGCTCCCAGACCAAGCAAAGGGCCGTGCGGAAGGGGCCACCGGTTTGTGTGGGGTTGGGTTTGCAATTCAAATGCAGTTTGCAACTTGCTATTCATTGGGGGATTTCCACGAGTGCAACAACAGCAACGGCACGACGGCGACAGGAGACTCGGAATCGGAATCAGAATCAGTGCAAGCGGCGATGAGAGCGATGAATGATGATGTTGTTCCTCCCATCTCTCTGTCATCTGAAGGAGGCTTTCCTGAAGGATTTAAAGGCGGAGTTTAATCCAAAGAAATATATGATAATTTTTAACACATTATATAATAAGTTTTCTATTTTGAAATTAATGCTTATATTTTACATTATAAGGAATATGAGCAAACTTCCGTTTCCATTCCCTTTGATTCCTGGAAACATTTTAAATATATAGTTATAATATTAGATCGATCATAGCCATCTTGTTTGACAATGTAAATCTATATTTTAATTTAATTTTTGTTTTTATGACATGAAACCCTATTTTTAATAACCAACAATTTATTTTATATGATGACTCATGGTATAAACATTATATTTATTACAATTTCTTCAACCTTACGGTAAATCTTTTTTCTATTTTAATCAGCCTGCCCCGCCACATCGATCCCCGCAAACGATAGGCTCACAAAGCACCCCATTCTAACCTTAATATTACCCATCCTGGACAGAAAAGACTTCCTTCCATTACCCAAAAAGTGGAAAAAATAGAGTGCCAGACAACAAATCCGAGTCAAGCATTCAGCCAAACAAATGGTTAGCCCCAAAAGGGGAAAAGTGAAGAGTCAAATGAAATGCTCACACAAATATGTCACGCACAAACAGCAACTACGGAGCAGAGCAGCTAAAAAAAAATCAACAAAAAATTGAAAAAATGAAGAAAAATAGAAAAAAAAAAAAGTAAAAGGGAACAGAGCAGGGTTCGGCGGGTTCAAATGAGGCGAGCTAGAGACACACAAAAACCAGAAGAACGAACACCGAACCAAAGGCCCTAATACTTTTTTCCTCTAGTTTTTTGTTCGCTCGTGTCGATGGCAAAGCAACAGTTTCGATGATAAGCAAAGCAGTACGAAAAACAAGAAAAACGAAGCTCGGACTGAAACCGAATCCGAAACTAAGAATGAATGAGACCGAGGGTAAAATATGCTCGAGAGGGCGTCAAAGTTGACGCTTATCTGCGCCTCATTTGCCAAAGGCAGCGACAAAGGCCTCATCAATTTCAAAGGCCTCCACGACCGTGGCAGCCAAAAAGATTGGACAACTGACAGCTGTCTGTGGGAGGAGGAGCTCTGGGATGTAGAAGGCTATGTAGAAATATATAATCCATGGTGGCCAAGTGATTTCCCTTACAAAAAATGTCTATATATCCACTTTAACAAGCAATTTTCCATAAACACATTTCATATAGTTTGTATTTTAAATTACCATTATTTCTAATATGTTTATTTACTATATTTTTTAAATTTTCCTATCAGAAATGACACAAATATGCTTAATACTTCTCGACTTCCCTATAAATAACCAAATTAAGAGCCAGGCAGTGGACACTGTCGCGCCAAAGTTCACTCAACTTTCAACTCGTAATTTGTCATTGTGCCAGGCGCCGTGAGTGGCCAACG